AATATGGCAGTGAAAGCTGCAATCTATTGTCTGTATCCCTCTCCAGTCTGTTACATAACCTTCCAAACCCTTCACTGCTATTCACCTACCCGCCATAATCTATCTCCAGCCTGCTATCTAGTTTCCCTTTCTATTCTCCAGTTTGTCTCTGCACCCTCTCACCTCCTTGTGTGTGACTTGTAACCCCTCTCATGCTATTGTTTTCCTCTTCTAACCCCCTGACATCTATTATGTCCCATATTCTCCATTACCTTTGTGTGCTTCTTGACCCTCTCTTATCCATTCTCTCTCTAAGCCCTCCTTTTGCTCCATGCTTGTCTCTTGGCCCCTTACCCCCTAATGTGTGTCTCATAGCTGCTATTCTTCTTTAGAGTCTCTTGGTCCCCCTTGTATACTTCTTTACCTCTACTATCCCTTGTGTGCCTCTTAACCCTCCTTTACACCTTGTGTGCCTATTAACTCTCATTACCCCTTGTGTGCCACTTAATCCCCTTTTTATCCATTGTGTGCCCCTTAACCCTCCCTCTATACTCTGTGTGCCAGGTTAAGTACGCCAGAGGTCAGAAGAGTCAATGGAAAGCCTGGTCACAATACCAAGGAATCAAACACACTATAATTCGCTATTGGGACAGTGACCACAAGAGGGCATAGAGTATTGGATGGACTAAAGTATAAATACTTCTACGCACCAACAGCGTGCATATACATTGTCACAGGAATGATGCAAGACACTTATTTTGATGCATGGTAGGGACCCTATAAAATGATGTGAAATATAGAGCTTTCAGTATCAGAAAAGATGCCAGGGTGGCACATTGCATCATTATAGATCCACGGTTTCAGCATGGGAGTGAAAGTGACACATGCTTAACGACATACTGCGACCACATAAAAATCACCTTACACCTGCTTCCTCCAGTCACCCTACATCGTCCTATGAGCTATTGTAAAGGACAGTAGATGAAGAATGACAAAATATGGCAGTGAAAGCTTTAGTCTCTCTCTAGTCTGTTATATAACCTTCAAAACCCTCTACTGCCCTTAACCTAACCACCATAATCCATCTCCAACCTGCTATCTAGTTTTCCTTTTCACACTCCAGTCTGTCTTCTAATCTCCCTAAATCCTTTGTAGCATGTCACTTAACTTCCCGAATTTCACCCCAGCCTGCCCATACTACTCTAATGACCATCAATAACTCCTCCTTCATCTGACATCCCCATGCCTTAAATCCCTCACCCCATTACATTTTTAATCCCCTTGACATAAATCCACTGGCTTACCTTCCAGTTGTCATTTCCACATTGCATCTCGAGGACCCTGGTGGCTGGTGGTTCAGTGTTTGGAACAGAAAGTTCATACTCCCTAACTCATGTTGTCTTCATTTTAGTTCCACCTGAATAATAACGTGTGGACATAAGACATCATGCCTTGATGCTTAATTTAGTGTCTTTATTTTTCTAGCAGCATTCAATGGAGGGAGGTGTCTTCAAAACCATTTTGGTTTTCTATTACTGCATTCTGAAACCAACAAGGCTTTTATATTGGCAACCTGTATCTTAATCCTTAATCCAGGAGATAGGTGAGATGAAAGAGAGACGAAAGAGGCATTTTAAGGGAATTTGGCTGCACATTTGGGTTAAGATAGGATGAAGAAATACATTGAATAGTAGTTTTAAAATTATTATGTTTATGAACTACTTTTATTGGACTTGACCTTCTAGCACGTGTCCAATAAAATCCTTTGTTCTGCACCAGATGAGTTGGGCAGCACAATTACATTACATCTGATTCATCACTGCAGATTTTCATACAATTCACTCAGAGCACTGCAGAAGTGGGAAAATGCTAAAATATTCTGTGGAAATACTATTTACTAGGGAAAGTCATTATGAAAAGCCATTATGTAGGAGTGGATGCTGGTTGTGTAACATTCTGTGAATGTATAGATCATATTAATGT